GGGGGTATTGCATATTTTATTTCACGTTCAATTGAATTTTGAACTTGTTCCAGCATTTGAAAACTCAGCCTGAAGACCCAGGGGTGAGAATTTGGTGGGGATGGCGCAGGCTCCCTTGTTCTCAGCCAGTGTCACAGGTCTCTGTGTCAAGGGACTGTCAGGCTGTGGATGACTTCCCAGCTGCTCCAGAGTGTCAGCCCCTCCAGGCAGCAGCCCTGAGTGGGTCATTGATTACCGGGAGTTAGTTTCACGCTTGTCATCCACTGTCAGATATAATGAGGTCGAGGTCTTTCATATTGGATGATCATAAAATCAACCTGAAATTTAACACGAGAGAAAGTACTTTTTATATATATATATATTTTTTTATTAGTCATTGTGGTTGTCCTGTAGAGGTGAAAGGCTGTCAAGGTCAGGGGGCTGCAGCGGGAGTCAGGCCGCACACATTCGCCCACTGGAGGGGGAATCCTGCGTTGTTTTCTCTAGAGATGGTTAAGAACCAAATATCTCTCTGCCCACTTTATTACACGTATGATTCATAACATCGTCAAATTATGAGCAAAAAGAAAAAATATACATATGTATTATTCCCTAAAATACACAAGTAAAAGAAATATACAATAAGTGTCATGGCACAAGCATCGTTAGGGACTTTGTCTTTGAATATTGTTGATCTGGTCCCTTAAGGAGGAAGGTTTTTCTCAGACAAGTTCCCTGTGTGTCCGTCATTCCGTACCCCGTGGCTTATGAGGCATGGTCTTCGTAAAGGTGACATTTCATTTTTTTCCCTAGCAAATATTTTGCTGAAATATTCAGTCATCATCCTTCGCTTGATAAAGAGAAGGGAGAACATGTATTTTTCTAAAGTTTTCTGTGGTATTAGAATCAGAAAATAAGCTCGGTGCCCATAGCTCAGTGGGTGGGGTGCTGGCCACATACACCGAGGCTGGCAGGTTACAGCCTGGCCCAGGCCAGCTAAACAACAATGATAACTGCAACAAAAAATAGCTGGGTGCTAAAGCAGGTGCCTGTAGTCCCAGTTACTTGGGAGGCTGAGGCAAGAGAATCACATAAGCCCAAGAGTTGGAGGTTGCTGTGAGCTGTGATGCCACAGCACT